TGGAGTCTCGCTCTGTTGCCCAGGCTGGAGTGCAGTGGCGCGATCTCGGCTCACTGCAAGCTCCGCCTCCTGGGTTCAAGTGATTCTCGTGCCTCAGCCTCCTGAGTAGCTGGGACTGCAGTCGCCTGCCACCTCGCCTGGCTAATTTTTTGTATTTTTAGTAGAGATGGGGTTTCACCGTGTTAGCCAGGATAGTCTCGATCTCCTGACCTCGTGATCCGCCTGTCTCAGCCTCCCAAAGTGCTGGGATTACAGGCCTGAGCCACCGCGCCCGGCCCTTGGACACTTTCAACTGGGTCTCTGAGAGGCTGGTGGCAGTACGCCCAGGGTCATCCAGTGCAGTGGCAGCACGCACGGGCCAGTCACCTGGGCCTGGCCAGGAGTAGGTCCCATGGGGTGGGGCAGGGGGAGGGGTCGGTCTGATGGGGGAGGAGACTCCTGTCTGAGGAGGGAGGATGCCCTGTCTTGGGGGGGCGGGTCTGGAGAAGGTCCCTGTCGGAGGGGGGAGGAGGTCCCTGTCTGAGGAGGGAGGAGGAGGCCCCTGTCTGAGGGGGGAGGAGGAGGTCCCTGTCTGAGGAGGGAAGAAGCCTCTGAAGAGGCTTCCAGAGTAGGGATGAAGATGGAGGTGGGGTTGGCCTGGGATCAGGAGTGAGGATGGGAAAGCAGATGGAATCAGAGGGGGAATGGAAATAAGATTTGGAATGGAGGCCGGGTGTGGTGGCTCATGCCTGGAATCCCAGCACTTTGGGAGGTCACGGTGGTAGGATCACTTGAGGCCAAGAGTTCCAGACCATCTTGGGCAACATGGCAAGACCCTATCTTTACAGAAAAATTAAAAAATAGCTGGGCATGATGGTGCATGCCTACAGTCCCATCTGCTCAGGAGGCTGAGGTGCGAGGATTGCTTGAGAACAGGAATTTGAGGCTGCAGTGAGCTGTGATTGTGCCACTGCACTCCAGCCTGGGTGACAGTGGGAAATCCCAACTTAAAAAAAAAAAAAAAAAGAATGGAAAGAAAGGAGAAAAAAAAAGAAGAGAGAGAGAGAAACAGAGAGAAAGAAAAAGAAAGGAGAGAAAGAGGAAGGGAGGGAGGGAAGAACGAAGGAAGGAAGGAAGGAGGAAAGGAGGAGGGAGGGAGGAAGGAAGGAAGGAGGAAAGGAAGGAAGGAAGGGAGAAAGAGAGAGAGAAAGGGAAAGAAGGAAGGAAGGAAGGAAGGGGAAGGAAGGGGAAGGAAGGAAGGGGAAAGAAGGAAGGAAGGAAGGGGAAAGAAGGAAGGTGAAGGAAGGAAGGGGAAGGAAGGAAGGGGAAAGAAGGAAGGAAGGAAGGAAGGAAGGAAAGAGAGAGAAAGGAAAGGCAGAAGCAGGAATGGGGGGGATGAAAGCAGGACAGGGTGGGGTCATTCAGGAAGAGATACACAGGTGCATATGTGGGGGATCCCAACTGCCAGCCTAGCCTCCCTGCCTCCTGCCACCCCTATGCGCCCCGCAGATCTGGGACGTGGTGGAGAAGGCAGACATCGGCTGCACCCCAGGCAGTGGGAAGGATTACGCTGGTGTCTTCTCGGATGCAGGCCTGACCTTTGCGAGCAGCAGTGGCCAGCAGACCGCCCAGAGGGCAGGTGAGGTCGCCACCAGGGGCCGGTGCAGGGACAGACAGCACCTCCACCTCCCAGATGCTGGGAGCAGAGCTCTGGCATCCAGGACCCTGGGTTCAAGCCCCGCCTCCACCACCACCAAGTAAACCCCTCCCCTCTGAGCCTCAGTTTGCTCTTCCATCAAATGGGAGCAGGAACACTCCCACCTCCCACGATCGTGAGGGGTGAACCGAGGACACCTAGTAGGTGCCTCAGCCATCTTCTTCTCGGTCCGCCTGCCCTGCAGAACTTCAGTGCCCACAGCCAGCCGTCCGCCGACGCCGTTCCGTGCAGCTCGCGGAGAAGAGAATGGACAAAAGTGGGTGCCTTTCCTACCCACTCCTGCCCCTGAACCCCACCCTGTGAGACCCGAGCCTGGCCGTGCAGGAGCCAGAGAGGGAGGAAGGGAGGTCCTGGCGGGGAAGTCCTCCCCGGGGTCCGTCCCGAGTCCCTCCTGCTGCCGGGCCCCAGCTGAGGGTGTGGCCTGGGGGAATGTGCTCCCGCAGTTGGCCAGTACCCCAAGGAGCTGCGCAAGTGCTGCGAGCACGGCATGCGGGAGAACCCCATGAAGTTCTCGTGCCAGCGCCGGACCCGTTACATCACCCTGAACGAGGCGTGCAAGAAGGTCTTCCTGGACTGCTGCACCTACATCACCGAGCTGCGGCGGCAGCACGCGCGGGCCAGTCACCTGGGCCTGGCCAGGAGTGGGTCCCATGGGGTGGGGCAGGGGGAGGGGTCGGTCTGATGGGGGAGGAGACTCCTGTCTGAGGAGGGAGGATGCCCTGTCTTGGGGAGGCGGGTCTGGAGGAGGCCTCTGTC